GAGCCCAGGAGTTGGAGGTTGCTGTAAGCTGTAATGCCACAGCACTCTACCCAGGGGGACAGCTTGAGGCTCTGTCTCAAAAAAAAAAAAAAAAGAATTTGTAATGTGCGAGCCACTTTTTTTTTTGAGACAGTCTTTGTTGCCCTAAGTCAGTGGTTCTCAACCTTCCTAATGCCGTGACCCTTTAATACAGTTCAGAGAACCGCTGCCCTAGTAGCTGAGACTACAGGCACCTGACACAACGCCCAGTTATTTTTTAGAGATGGGGTTTTGCTCTGGCTCAGGCTGGTCTTGAACTTGTGAGCTCAGGCAATCCACCCACCTTGGTCTCCCAAGTGCTGGGATTACAGGTGTGAGTCATCACACCCGGCCCTGTGCAAGTCTACTTGATCTCTCTGAGCCTCTGTGTCTTCACGCATAAAATGAAGATAATATAGCCAAGTATGGTAGTACACACTTACAATCCTAGTGCTTTGGGAGGCCAAGGCAGGAGGATCACTTGGGGCCAGGAATTCGAGACCTGTCTCTACAAGGTCTTGTAGAGCAAGACCTCGTCTCTACAAAAAATTTAAAAATTAGCTGGACATGGTGACTTGGGATTGTAGTCCCAGCTACTCAGGAAGTTGAGGTGGCTTGAGCCCAGGAATTCAGGGTTATAGTGAACTATAAACATACCACTTCACTCAAGCTAAAAGCAGAAAGTACTCAATTCTCTTCCTCAGGGCCTTTCTTACATAGCCCAAACCTATCAGCTTAGGGTGAAGTATCCTCCTTTGTCCCTGAAGAATACGAGACTTGTTCATCATTTATCTTCTTATTCCACAGGCAGGCCCAATGCCCAAACACATTGCATTCATAATGGATGGGAACCGTCGCTATGCCAAGAAGTGCCAGGTGGAGCGGCAGGAGGGCCACTCACAGGGCTTCAACAAGCTGGCTGAGGTGGGTGTGGGTGGCAGAGCCCAAAGAAAACAGTATGTGGAAAAGTGGATTATAGTTAGAAAACCAAGTCCTGCATTTACCATAGTTTGAAAGAGATTTTTATAGTTGTGTTATTGCTTGTTTGATTTATTGACATTAAAAAAGTAATCATTGAGGAATTAATACAAAATATTAGAAATAAGAACAAAATTCCTGCTTTTTTCACCTTAACAAATCAAGTTTATATTATCCTATGTTTCATTCAGTCCTTTTTTTTTGCAGTGACATCATCATAGTTCACAGAAGCCTCAAATTAAAACTGCTGGGCTCAAGTGATTCTCCTGCCTCACCCTCCTAAGCAGCTGGGACTATAGGCATGCACCACTATGCCCAACTAATTTCTTTCTTTCTTTTTTTTGAGATAGAGCCTCAAGCTGGTGCCCTGAGTATTTTTTGGGTTGTAGTTGTCATTGTTGTTTGGCAGGCCCGGGCTGGATTTGAACCCACCAGCTCTGGTGTATGTGGCTGGTGCCTTATCCACTTGAGCTACAGGCACCAAGGCAATTTTTTCTATTTTTGGTAGAGATGGAATCTTGCTCTCGCTCTTGCTTGCTGGTCTTGAACTCCTGGCCTCAAGTGATCCTCTCACCTTGGCCTCCCAGAATGCTCGGATTACAGGCATGAGCCACTGCACCTGGCCTCATCCAAACCTTATAATATGGTCTATATGACTTAACATTTAAAATTACTCCTATATGCAGACAAATTGAGCCCCAGGAAAAATAAAATAAAATAATTTACATCTATAACTTAACCATACTTTTATTGTTTGACAAGTCTTTTGATAAGTGTAGGTTGATATATGGCCTTTCTAACTAAGTTTTAATGATTATAAAATATTTTTTCAAGAAAATCCGATAAAATTTGTTTATGTTGCTTTGCTCCTATTCAGAGGTTCTCAACCTGTGGAGAACTAGTTCCACAGGAACTGCATTAAAGGGTTGCAGCATTAGGAAGATTGAGAACCACTGCTCCTGTTGGATGTTATAAATAGACATTATAAATTGTACAGTTTTTTTTTTTTTTTTTTTTT